ACCAATTCTGTATCTTCTTGGCAGGAACTCCACATTTTTTAAAAGGCAGATCTGAAAATTACAGAAAGGCATGGAGTCCCTGCCCATCACATGAATCCACAGTTCCTGCTGAATCACTTGGAATTGTGCTGCCCGGGACTTTGCCAACGCAGTCATGTCTGCACAAAAGTCTAAATAAAATCTGTGGGCAAATCAAAGAAGCAAATTTCATGAGTAACTAGGAATTGTTAGTTTTTGTGGTATGTTTGCAGGGTTTTTCTTATTCTAGCACTGTTTCCTGAGCAGACTCTGTAATATTCCACTTCAATCCCTCTAAGCTGACAGGGGAGCGTGTACTTTGCAATCAAAGTGATTCATGCAATTACATGAGCCTGTGCAGAGTAAGGCAGTGAGAATCCCTAATCTAGAACATTAGCACTTATCTGTTAAATGCTCTTTTTTAACATACTGCAGAACCATCATCTTAGTCCTTACATAAGGATCTTCAGGGACTACTATGACAACAGCAGTGCTGAAAAGCAGCGTAATGAGGCACCAGGAGCACTGGGAGCAGATCATACAACAGCAGCTCATTACAACTACTGCTTGTCTGACCCCAAAAATAAAATCACTTGTGGATGCTTTTTATATTGCTGAAGCTCTTTGTCAATCTGTTTCATTTTTATTAGTATGTTCACTATATTTCTGTTTATACACTGATTGTTGACTTGGTCTGCAGGATTATATAACTAAGAGTAGAACAGTGTGGCTATTCCCAGGGGATGAAAATATTCCTGAAATCATGCCAGAGACTTTGCAGTTTGTTGATCTGTTGGAAAGGTTATGGAGATGAGCTACCAGAATCACTTGTTGGTGACAAAAATGTAGCTGTGTAGTGAAACATGTATTGTGGGATTTGTTCCCAGCTTATTACACATGGAAGGTGAAAATTCCTGATATTAGAGGGCTTAATATCATAGGCTGGTCCAGATCAGTGAAATTCAAACAGGAAATGAGGTTTTAAGAGTTGGAGAAGTTTGCAGAGGGAAGTTGTCTTCATTGTTGTAAACCAGTGCTTGATTTCTCTTAAGTGCTTGTTTAAAACACATTTTTTCTCTCCATTTTGGATTCACTAACGAAATTTATGGATTGATTTGCTAGGAATTCAGACAACAGTGCCTCTTCTGATCCCAACATCAGCATTTGTGTTCAGACTTTTTAGAAATTAGTTTATTTGACGTCAGAAGAGGCCAGGCATAGAGCATGGGGTGTGTGGATGCTCTCCTCAGCTGCCTCCCATCCCGGGGCAGAAACTGCTGAGCTCTCAGCCAGCGCTGCAAGTTCCAGCAAGCAGCGCCCCATGGATGTCCCCAAAGGCAATCCCACGTGCGAGAATCGCGTCTCACAGCCTGAACTGCCTCTCATTTTCTCCACACGATGCAGACTGTGTGATCCAGCCCCACACAGGGGGTGCCCGGGCTTGCTCACACCTCGGGTCCCAGCTGGCTTTTACAGGCTCGGGGAGAGCTGCAGGTGTGAAGCCTCCGTTTCCCTGCCAGGCTGCTGCTGGGAACTTGAGAAGGCACTGGCCAGCTCCAGCCACATCAGAGAGAGAGGCAGCAAACTTAGAAGTCATTTACAGAAATACTTGCAACTCAAAAAAACATAAATGATGCTTGCGTAAAGGCTGGGGACCCAGATTAATGTCAGCAGAAATGGTCCATTCTGCCTTGTGTACAGACCTCAAGAGAGAAGACAAATTATTGAGAAGAGTCTTGGGCTGTTTGTCTGTCAACCTCTACTTTAATTAATTAACATTAATTATGGACCTAAAGCAGAAATGTTGGATTACATACCAACTCAGGGTACAGCTTAGAAATTTATTCTTGATTGACTTGTGTGTTCAGGTCATTTCAGGCTCTACAGGCAACTGTATATTGTGCAGTATTGAGTGAACTTTACACCTAGACTATACATTTTTATATATCTGATATAAATAAAGGCATTCTTCCTCTACAAGTGTCAGCAAGCTTTCACCATTTTGCTGAATCAAGACCATTTTTGGATATACAGTGACAAAGATTAGACAAATTAGATACTGTCATTATTAAGAGAATTTTTAGGGCAAAAAGATAATTCTCCTGTCTCGCATTACATGCTTCTTCTCAATTCTTTTATGAGAAAATTATCTTTTTAGATAGCTGATGTATTCACATTCTTAGTCTTCAAAATTCTGTAAATTCTGTAGTGCATTATCACTTGAATATGCCAAATAATTATTTGAATGCCTACTCATAGATAGTCTTTAGTAAAACTGAGGCTTTGAGAAGAGCCAGAGAGACCCAAAAACTGCATTCATGAGATGGGCACTGTGAGGATTTACATTTAAGACACATTGTGGACTTTTACTACTTTTGCAGTAAAACAATTTGCAGTTGTAATGAGACTGAAATTCAGAAAGTGATCTCCTCAACTGTCACCTTTGCTTTAAGAACAGGAAGGATTTAATAGGCATTAGTTAATATCTCATTACAATTTTGTGGTCACCTAAAGGCCATATAGATGCGAATAGTCTCTTCTGATAGCAAACCAGTTTTAGCACAAGTTGGTAGTAAGAATACTCACATTAAGGTGGCTTCTAGTAAGTCTGTAGCATCCCCATTGTAATGTATAATGCTGCCCTTCCAGGCTCAGGATTGACAACCTTTCATAAATGATACTTTTTATGCCAAATGTCTTTTGCAAGAAATGACTGAGTCTACACAAACCTGCACAAAATTCTTCCCTTCCCCCTTATTATTTCCCCTCAATTCTATAGTGTTTTTAGAGGATCAGGAGGTTTAGAGCTGAAAGTGATTATTTGTTTTCGAAAGTTCTGGACACCTGGAGATTGTGAAAATAATCATCCCTGGCTTACATTCATTTTTAGTTTCTAGGATACAAACAGAATTTAAAACAAGCTAATCCCTTCACCTGGTTTAAACTGCCAGTGGTTCATGCAGCAACATGAGTTTACAACAGCTAAGGATACATCCCAGTTATTTTTAATCCTTTCACGTCAAAATTGGCTCATCCCAATTTGCTTTTAACGGAGTAAACCCTATTTACCCAGCCCATATTTGTCTTGAGTGCACTTGTACAAAATAACCCCGAGCACCCAAAAAGGGCACGTTTGTAATGAAAACACCTCCAGACAGAGTAAGGCCCCGAGGGGAGGCCACCAAGGAATGGGTTTGACAGCTCCTGAGCGGGACTGAACCGAGCGAGGGGCTCGGGGCTGCTGCTCCCCTTCAGCCACGCTCAGACTCACCTCAGCCAGGGAACAGGGCTGGCTGGGGGCTCAGGGAAATGTGGGCTCTGCAAAGGCCCAGCCTTCCCTGCTGGAACAAAAATATACACTGAAAAATCTGGGGAAATGGGACCTACCCATGAGAACGGGAGGAGGGGAGTAGAATAAAGAGAGAGGGATGGAAGTAGGAACAGAGAGGCAGGAAAAGGGATAAAAAGGGAGTTGGGAGGAAGAAGAAAGGCAAAAAGAAGCATAAAGAGCTGGAAAAGTAAGGAAAAGAGAGAAGAAAAGGAGTGAGGAAGGCCAAAAGGCCTTCCCTGTTGGAACAAAAATATAAATTGAAAAATGTGGGGATTTCCTCAACACCTGCTGTGTCCTGCTCCCAGCTTGCTACATGATGTCCCCAATATGTTCTCCCCTAAACTGCTGCTGGATGCCTCCCTGCTCCCTAATCTGCAGTGGGATGTCCACAGCCATCCTTGAGATGAACCCCCTAGACCTCCTATGGGACAGCCTCATACCTGCTATAGGGTGTACCAGCCCTGGGAGGACCCCACCACGCCCGCTGCGGTCAATCCTTCAGCCACACCGTGGGATTTCCCCCCGAGCCCTGGGACGTTCTTTGTGATGTTCCCCGCTAAGCCCAGGTCCTGCAGAGCTGATGCGGGATGTCCCCAGTGTGCTGTGGGATGTTCCCCTGGGATGTCCCCCCTGCCCCTTTTCCCTCAGCTGTGCACCTGGGCACGGTGTGTGCGGTGCACGGTGTGTGCGCGGTGTGTGCGCGGTGTGTGTGGGGTGTGTGTGTGCGGTGCGTGTGCGCGGTGTGTGTGCGGTGTGTGTGGGGTGTGTGTGTGCGGTGTGTGCGCGGTGTGTGCGCGGTGTGTGTGCGGTGTGTGTGGGGTGTGTGTGTGCGGTGTGTGTGCGCGGTGTGTGTGCGGTGTGTGTGCGGTGTGTGTGTGCGGTGTGTGTGCGGTGTGTGCGGTGTGTGCGGTGTGTGCGGTGTGTGTGCGGTGTGTGTGTGCGGTGTGTGTGCGGTGTGTGCGGTGTGTGTGCGGTGTGTGTGCAGTATCTGTGCGGTGTGCGCGCGGTGTGTGTGCGGTGTGTATGTAGTATTTGTGCGGTGTGTGTGCGGTGTGCGCGCGGTGTGTGTACGGTGTGTGTGCAGTATTTGTGCGGTGTGTGTGCGGTGTGTGTGCGGTGTGCGCGCGGTGTGTGTACGGTGTGTGTGCAGTATTTGTGCGGTGTGTGTGCGGTGTGTGTGCGGTGTGTGCGCGGTGTGTGTGCGGTGTGTGTGCGGTGTGTGTGCAGTATTTGTGCGGTGTGTGTGCGGTGTGTGTGCGGTGTGCGCGCGGTGTGTGTGCGGTGTGTATGTAGTATTTGTGCGGTGTGCGCGCGGTGTGTGTGCGGTGTGTGTGCAGTATTTGTGCGGTGTGTGTGCGGTGTGTGTGCAGTATTTGTGCAGTATTTGTGCGGTGTGTGTGCGGTGTGTGTGCGGTGTGTGTGCAGTATCTGTGCGGTGTGTGCGCGGTGTGTGTGCGGTGTGTGTGCGGTGTGTGTGCAGTATCTGTGCGGTGTGTGCGCGGTGTGTGTGCGGTGTGTGTGCGGTGTGTGTGCAGTATCTGTGCGGTGTGTGCGCGGTGGCCCCGCGGCCGCGGCGCTGCCGGGCGGGGGTGACTCAGCCCCGGCTTTATAACGGCGGGGCGGCTCCGAGCCCGGCTCGCTGCGCCGCACCATGCGGAGCCTGCGCCGTGCCCCGCCGGCGCTGCCGCCGCTGCTGCCGCTGCTGCTGGTGCTGCTGGTGCTGCTGCTGGCCGCGGGACACGGAGCCGTCATCACCGGGGTGAGCGCCGGGGGGAGCGCCGCCGCTCGGCACCGACCGCACCGCACGGAGGGACGGAGGGACAGAGGGACGGAGGGACAGACGGCTCCGCCGCGGCGGCGGGACGGGTGTTGGGGTTTGTTCGCGGGGAGTGATAGCGGGACTGGGAGAACCGCCCGGGATAAGGGGTGCTTGGAGAGAGGGGAGCGGGATGCCCGGAGAGAGGGGAGCGCTCTGCCCTGCGGGATGCTCGGAGAGGGGAGCGCTCGGCTCTACGGGATGCCCGGAGAGAGGGGAGCGGGATGCCGTGCGGGATGCCCGGAGAAGGGAGAGCTCGGCTGTACAGGATGCCCGGGGAGAGGGGAGCGGGATGCTCGGAGAGGGGAGCGGGATGCTCGGAGAGGGGAGCGGGATGCTCGGAGACGGGAGCGGGATGCTCGGAGAGGGGAGCGGGATGCCGTGCGGGATGCCCGGGGAGAGGGGAGCGCTCTGCTGTAAGGGGCGCCCAGGGAGAGGGGAGCGCTCTGTCGCCCGGGGCTGCTCGCTGGGCATCTCTGCTCTCTGCGCTGCCGACACTCGTGGTCTGCCCGCACTCAGCCATGCCAGGACGGTGCGGTGCCGAGTGAGGTGACGGATGGTCAGAGCTGGGATAAGTGATAACGAGGACGTGGGAGGGAAAGCAGTGCCAGGTGATGAGAGGTGACAGGGCTTGGGGTCCGTCTGGGGTAAGTGGTACCGGCCGTGGCATCTCTAGGGATGAGGGATGGTCTGGATTCAGTGGTGTCAGAGCCTGGGGGTCTCTCTGAGGTGAGTGATGCCAGGATGTGTCAGTCTCTGCGGTGGGCAATGCCAGGACCCGTGGGTCTCTGTGGTGAGGGGATGCCACAATGTGGGGTCTGTTCCTTTGGGGTGAGGGATGTCTTCAGGAGGGCTCTCTCCAGGCTGGTCCGGGAGCATGCAGAGATTCCTGCTGCTTTTCCAGGGCTGGAGCTGTCTCCGATCTCGCTGCGTGCAGCCCCAGCTGGCCCCAAACCTGCTCCGAGAGGGTCTGGCTCAGGGCACTGCGCTGCCCACTGTGCACCCCAAGTTCCTCCAGCCCCTCCGTGTGCAGGGCAGGATTACAATCCTCAGAAAACTCTGTTTTCCTTCTTTTTTTTCTTTGCCTATGACTGTGGCTTTCCCCCCACAATAGCCACCCCTTCCAAACAAGTCTCTGTTGTTGTTGTTGTTTTTAGGCTCAAGATTTACCCTGGCTGTGAAAATACTTTTTTTCCTAAAGACGTTATTTAACCCAAAGTGTTGCATCACTTTTTAGTTAAATGATTTTTTAAGTGTTTGCTTTGGATTAATAACTCAGCATTTGCATTCCTTTGAGAGCTCACATGTCTTTTGTAACCATCAGGAGTTGCACTCACAGCAGTGGATTTCTCTGTGGCTCTCCAGGCTCCCTGTCCAGACCCCTGAAGTCCATGAAACAGCTTGTGGGCATTTCTCTGGAAGTCAGATCAGTTCCAAGGACTGATTATTTTTATTTTAGAGCAGAGAATGTGAAGGAATTTTTTAATAATTGAGGATTTCAAGTTTCTTTTAAGTAGAAACATTCCCAGCAACAGAGGAGCAGTTTATCTGTTGTTAGAATTGTGGCTACACCTTTAAAGCATAATTAACCCATTAAATAAAGTAATTGTGATCAAGAACAAGGCAGATTCAAAAAGTAAAAATAGATTAGAACTAGAAAATGTTACTTTATTAACTATTGCAGAGCATTTCTGCTTAAACCACTTTGATGCATTTTTGGCTTTTGATGAACAGGCAAATCTCAGATGAGAGCTGACGTAGGTGTTCCCCAACCCCTGAGCCTGAAAGGTGCTTTTCCTTTCCAATTTAAAGATGTTTTCAAGCTTTCCTCAATTCAGTGGTGGTTCTTGTGCTGAAACGTGTTGCCTTTGCAGCTGGCATTTCACCTGGGACATATTCTTGGGCTGGTTTTCCGGAAAACTGTGTTTAAATGAGGTGCTCATGTGGTGTTTGGGGAAGTTTAGGAGGAGCAGCAGGAATTACACATTGCAGATAAGATGTGGGCAGGAACACTTGGGTCGAATATTTTCAAAACTTGTCATACATTTTTGGAAAGGGAGCCGTAAAACTTCTGCCAGATGTAAATATGTGTGTGTGAGGTCAGGAAAGAAATTGTTCAGCCCGGACACTCAAGACTCTTGTTTGGTAGAACACACCCAGGGGGGTTTTTCAGCTGAGTGGTATTTCACCCCAAGACCAGTCCCACAGAGATTAATGGACTTTGAGATATATAAATAAGAAAAAAAGGGAGTCAGGAGCTGGCAAGTGAAAAATAGCAGAGCCTGTGACTCCAGCTGAGCAGTGGACACTGGTGTGCTGGCGGCAGCCAAAATCACTGGACCTGCATTTTAATTTGTGACTATGGCAAAATAATATCATTAGAGTACTTTTCAAATTATTATTATTTTATTTTTTTAAGAGAGAGGTCAGAAAGTGAGTATAATCTACCTGGCAGGCAGGAGTGGTGGTTTTATGGCCATATAACAGCAAATGCTCTGTGTTTGGGCTTACCTGCAGCACAGAGCTCTGTGTTTAGGAGCTGTTTGGGTCACACACACTATTTAATAATGATCCTAATGCAACAGCTTCTTCCCAAACTACTGACTGAGCTTTAAACTTGTATTTTGATCTGGCTCCTGCTGGTCAGTGCAATATTTACCCAGTGAGTACAGTCTAAAGCCATTTATCATGTAAATCCCAAGGTAAGATCAGTGAGCTTTCCCCTCAAGAGCGTGTTTACTCTGGGAATGTGCCTTCCCCAGAGCTGTTATCAACATTTACGTATGTTTTTATGAGTTTCCCATTTACGTAGTGCTGACCAGGGCCTTCCATCTCTCACTGCTGCTGCCAGACACCCAGAGCAGTGAGGTAATCAAGTTTACATTCAGGATGTAAGCAGAACCTTTAACTGATGGCAATTCTCACTGGAGAAAGGAGACTGGTTTTTACATTAAATCTATATAAGCTTTTGATTAAAAAGTAGCTGAAAGATGTACAGTAGCTTGTTTTCAAACCCTAATGTGTCAATTGCTCTTCATGGTTTGTGGGTTTCAAGACATGCCCACTAGTTTGCATTTTTGGTTTCTGCTTATCTAAGCTGTGTTGGGTAAGTGGTTAAAATATGTTTTTGCCTCCCGTGAAGGGGAATGTTACCACAGCAGCATTTTTTTTTGCATGTGGACACTTATGGAAAAGTTTTCTTAAGACCTCTTTTAGCTATGTGTAATTCTAGATAACAACCACAGAATCCACATTTAAACTTTTGTTTTAGCTACTTCCATTTGGACTTCTCTAACAAAACTCTCATGCAGTGCTGCAAGGGCACTCACAACCATGGTATTGTCATGTGAAGCTAGAAGGAATAGTTACCTAAAAGTCATTAAATTAATGGATGTTTTCCTATCTTAGCTTCTCCATAAGAGTGGTTTGGTGACTCTTTTGGTGACAAGTTTGGTGTGGTTGGTCCTTGCTCCTGCCTGAGCTCACTCAGGCACCAATCTGGGAGCAGGGAAAGCAAGTGGCACATGCCATGGTCTATCAGTGCTCACAAGTTTGGACTGTAAATCACTGACAGTGCTGGGTTTGGCCCAGAGCACCTCTGTGTGTGGTCCTGGCTTTAAACAACCTGGTCCCAACTCCAAAAAGTGCCAGGAGCCTGCACGTTCCAATCCATGGGAGACACGAGTACTGCAAACCGGCCTTAAATCTTATTATCCAGCCTTAATGAGCCATGATAACTTAGGGGGGCCAGAGGCAGCTCCTCAGCACATGATCCATCCTATTTCTGGACTGCATTCATTATTCATGCAATTTGCTCGATGCTGCGTTGCGTGCAGGCCTGTGACCGAGACCAGCAGTGCGGGGCCGGGATGTGCTGCGCCGTCAGCCTCTGGATCCGCAGCCTCAGGATGTGCACCCCCATGGGCAACCTGGGAGACGACTGCCACCCCCTGAGCCACAGGGTGAGTACCTCACTGGGGGCTGGAGGGGTGTCCTGAGCTCTACAGCACATGGCACAAAGCCTAGATGTGGTGGCAAGGCAGGGAAGCTTCCCATTCCGTACGATATCCGGCCATTGTATCTGTATGGGAGCAGAGATGAAGGCACCTACGTAAGGAAGTGCATTAGTGTCAGAATTATGCTGAAGGGAATCAGAGGATGAAAGCACTACATGCTTCCCAGATTGTTTTCTTATTAGTTTGTTGTTGCTGCTTTGTTTTGTTGCCTGATCCAAAACAGCGCTGGCAGTTCCCAAGCCCAGCCCTGCCAATCCCTCCTGGTGTGAGCAGGAGCACAGAAAGTGCCACCAACCCCAGTGGCAGTGGACAAGATCCTGTGACAAGCATAAAAATGTCACCAGCTGGAGTTGGGACAGCATTGAGAAAGTGTTGACACACATTTGGACTTGAGAAAAGTCTCCACAGACTCTCTTTGTTTCTGTTCTACCTATTAATTTTAAATATCTATGTATATATACATATATACACACACTGTATTATTAATACAATGATTTTAACAAGTATCTTTATTTAAGGCTATGTAATTATGTATTTCCTATGCAGTATGAAAAAAGCTGCTTATTTAAAACACAAAAGACTGAGTGAGATGTTACCAGGGAATTTGAGAAGCTGATGGTCTTCAGAGTCATCCTCAGGGAAGAGCACAGGCCAAGAGTCATCACAAGTGGAAGATATGAGGCAATAAATTCAGATCATAAATGTGCAGCTAGTTAGCTGCCTCTCTCCCTTTCCTCCAAGGCCTGGCTTCTCAGTTTATTTTCTCAGTTTTAGGAAGTTTAAGGCTCTATTTTATTGCAGTTAAATTTTTAAAACTTCTGCTGTGATATTGGGGACCAAATGGTCATTTTTACTATGTAATGTAGCAGGTTCTTCTTGTAAGGGCTCTTTCCATTACCAGGAAATAGGATAAGAGAAATTGACTTCTAGAGGGTTTTATGAGCTTATTGTTATTGGGCAATAATTTAAACTGATATATTTCAAGATGACTGCCTGCATAATTACAATCAGAGCAGATGCCTGTCCACCCCAGACACTAAGTCACTGATGTTTATAAGCTTTATGAGGTTAATTTTAATTTCTCCACTGATCTTCCTGAGAAACATAAACCAAATTGATTTGCTGGAGAATGTGAAATGAGTTTATTTTAAGGATGGAGGGTTTGCTCAGTGGTTCCTGTCTGGTAAATACTTGTGTAGGGAGCAGCTGGGTGCCCTGATCACCAAAACTTTTCATTTACTGCAGGATAGGTCAAAATCAGGCACCACCATGGCCATGGCACCTTGGGGACATCCAGAGGAGCCAGGAGATAACTGGAGGAGATGGCCGGCACCTGGGGTTCCACCTTCTGGTTTGCTTCTCAACAACTAGATGGTGATGGACCGATGCCATTAGCAGTCCCAGCTGGAATTTCTAGGCCAGGTCTGAGGCAGGGCCAGACAGGGTTTGCAGGCAGGTGAGGTTGGGCAGCATGGGGAATGAAAGGAACATTTCCTTGCAGCAAGTGGAATATTTAGAATAAATCACTGAGCTGTCAGGAGGCTGAGAGCTCAGGATTTGGGTTTGGTGCAGTGCTGGGTGTGAGCACCCACAGGGGTGATTCCCATGGGGATCCCCAGCAGGATAAGGTTGTTGCCTGTGACCGTGTTCACAGGGGTCTTAGGATGAGGGAAGAGATGAGGATCTGACTCCATGTTACAGAAGGCTTGATTTATTATTTTATGATATATATTACATTAAAACTATACTAAAGAATAGAAGAAAAGTTCTCATCAGAAGGCTGGCTAAGAACAGAAAAGAATGAATCAACAAAGGTCTGTGGCTCGGACAGAGAGAGAGCCAGCTGTGCCATGATTGGCCATTAATTCCAAACATCCACACGAGACCAATCACAGATGCACCTGTTGCATTCCACAGCAGCAGATAACCATTGTTTACATTTTGTTTCTGAGGCCTCTCAGCTTCTCAGAAGGAAAAAATCCTAAGGAAAGGATTTTTCATGAAAAGATGTCTGCGACAGTTGCCTCTGCTCACACTGGAGCGGAGGGGCTGTGGTGGGTGACACATGGAAACCCACATCATCCCTTGTCCTGGGGCTGCTCTTCAGATGGTGCTGGCCCGGGGTATTTCAGGGGATGTGAGCCCCCTGCCCACCTCCTGCCCCAGCACAGTGTCACTGGAGTCAGGCTGGTGCTTGCCACCGTGCAGGGAGGACTGTGTGGGACTCTCTTAAAGACAAAGTTTGCGCACAGACACAAGAAAATCTTGGAATATTAAAATTTTAGGCTTCAACCACACAGACATCTGGAAGTGAGGGAATTAGGGCTGCCTGCCTGGCTGGTAGCAGAGGCTTTGCACCTCTGTGCCTCCTTTGCTGCATCCAGGGAATGCTCAGTGTGTGCTGCCAGCTGGCAGCACCACAGCTCCCAGACACTTCCCACTGAGCTGTCCCTTTTGGCTCCTGTAAGAGACAGAGCTTGTGACCAAGTTGTTGAAGATTGTCAGTGCGTGTGCATGTCATGGCACAATTAAATTTGTCTAATCTACTCCATATGTGCTCCCTGCAGCACAATGTGGCTGGAGGAGGCTGGGATGAAATGAGAAACCTCTGGCCTGTGGTGAAAAGGATCCTGCCCACAGGGAGGTCAGGCAAGGTGACTCCAGAGGTCCCTTCCAGCCTGATTTCCACAGGATCCCAAGGTTCCTGCTCTGTGCCATGTGACAAGGCAGGGTTTGGGACACGCAGAAAACCCTGCACAGTGGCACCACAAAACGTGATGTTAAAGGCCAGTGTAGTTTCACAACAAACCCCTTTATGAAACGGCAGTAAATGGAGAACATGTGTCACAGATGTAGATTTACACAGCAACATGACTGTTAACATCCTGCTCTTAATGTGGCTGGGCCGGGTGTACGCTGGGGCTGCCTTTGCCATCTGCTCCGTGCTGCAGCTCGTGGGGAGCTCTGGCTCTGAAGGGAGGGAACTGGGCAGCATTCCCCATATCCCCAATATTCCTCCCATTTCATCCCCCCAGCCACCATTGCCGTGGCTCTCCCTGCCACTGATTGTGGGAAATAGTAAATATGCTATTAGCTAAAAAGTTTTTAAGCTGCTCTGTAACAAAGAAATCTTTGGCTGCTGCTGGCTGTATGTATTGCCATCTTCCTATTGTCTCACCCACATCATGAGGCTGATGCTGCAGATAAAGCTCAAGGAATGTACCCCAGCAGTCCCATCCTGATTGTGAAAAGGATGAAATAACCTCCCCAACCAGCTGATGTGCTTGCTCTGTCCCCAGGTGCCCTTCCCGGGGCGGAGGATGCACCACACCTGCCCCTGCCTGCCCGGCCTGGCCTGCCTCAGGACTGCTCCCAGCAGGTTCAGGTGTCTGCCAGACTTCAGGAAAGAAGATGTCTTCTTTTAGCAGGAACTGCTCTGCACTCCAAAGAGCCGCTCAGTATTTTTGTTCTCTCGTTGTCGTGACCAAAAAAAGGGGTATTTGCCAGGGGGAACCCTGCACCCCTTCCCTGCCTCACCAACACCAGCTGGAGATGAGACACTGCTGCTGTGGCCAAGGTTTTCAGGAGGGACTCGCAGTGGAGGATGATTTCATTTTGGGGTAGCCAAACAACATCTACTGGAGCAAAGCTCTTTCTGAGGGCAGGGGCTTGACCATTCCTGAATAATTTTGTGGGCTTCATGGTTCTAGTTTAACCCCAGAATGAAAAAATCCAAGTTTATTGCCAGTTTTGGAAAAATTTGGCCACATCTTTACACTTTGGAAGACCTGAACTGAACTGAGAGTTGGACAACAGCAGAGTGTGAAGCACGTGACAATTGCCAAAAGAACTGTATTTACATTGCATTTCATATCTTTATTAATATAATTTTATTTCTAAGTTAGGCGCACCTCTAGGGTAAAGGTTTAACCAATAGATGTAGTTTTTACACTTTTAAAAAGTGGCACGTGGAAACAAAACATTTCAGTATTACGAGCATTAAAAGATTTACTTATTTTAGTGTTCTAAGATGAGAAGCTGTTGTTACTTGAATTGGTGTAAAACTACCTGATCATCTCAAACTATGTATTAAGATGTAGTTTATATTAAAGAAAAAAGGAACCCTGAAGTTTATTTTAATAGGCTGCCTGACTTCTTGTATATGTATCAAATTTGCTGTGCAAAAATTCTGTATCAGAATAATGGCAGTGTGTGATTTCATTTATTTTAATATTATAACATTATTTTGTCATTGTGGTTTTTCATTTTTATTCAGTGTAATCTGTTATCCCACACTTGATTCACCACCTAAGCTAGCAGAGCTCCTTATGGATAGCTTAGCAAAAGATTATGTGCTCTGGCTGTTTTTTGGAAAACTTGTAGTTTACAAGGCATGAATTCCTCAATCAAGCTGCAGTTTCAGAATTTGGAAGAATCTTGGTGTAAATAATATGAGAGGTTTTTCTTGGCTGGTGCCTCAAAGGATCAACTTTAGCCCAGCAAACATAAGATTTGTGGGTTTTCTATGAAATGCTGTGTGACTTCATATTTACTTGTCAGTCCCCAGAGCTGGAATTCCAACAGTTTGTGTGAGATTCACATGTTTCCTGCTCTCAGACATGCAAACATATGCTGGAACTGGAAAAGTGAAGTCATTCATCGTTCAACAATCCGTGCTTTGCTGCTGGTGGAGATGGGGGGGGGGTTGGAGAAGTGAGCACACTGTGTCCAGGCCAGACCCGTAAAACTGAGAGGAGAAACATCCCTGGCAGTTACCAGGAACCTTCTACTGGGCTCCACAACCTTCCCTGGGGGACAGAAAAGAATAACTGGATTAGGGATTGCCAGATCCTCGTGGATTCTGCATATGGTAGGGAAATAAAAGTCTTGGGAGAGATTGAATCCTCCTGGCTGAAAACAGGGTACCCTACTCCAGTGCCTCTGAATTTTGCCTCCCCCTTTGCAGTGGTGATAGAAAAAAAAAAAAAAAAAAAAAAAAAAAAAAAAAAAGAAAGGACTGAAGTGCCACTGAAGGGTAATTTCACATCTGGTTTTCATTAATGTGATCAGGTACAAAGTGCCTGTATTAGATCTGAAGTCTCAGAGGGTCTCAACACTAACCCAAAGGGCTGGTGAAAGGCTAAGTCATTTATTGAGTTCAAAGTGACATGCCAGCACAGCAGAAATTCCCATAACCTGGATTTAAAACCAACCCCCAAGCCTGATTACACCATTGTCTCTAAATAGGGGGGCTCCCCAATCACCCTGCGCACCCCCAAAGCCTGGGTTTGCAGAACACACTGGAAGTGTGGGGGCTGCTTTTCTGTCCATGTCTGTCCCCATAAAATAAGCTCAATACCACAGACTTCAATTTACACAAAATCAAGAAGAAAAATAGGAGCAGTCCAAATGTGCCTGTGTCCCATCTCTTGCTCCATTTTTTAAAATCAGAGCACAAAAAATGAACCATGGGAGGAAACAGCAGCCCTGCTCCTCATCTCCTGCTGCCCTAATTCACCTACTGAAGGCAGCAGCCTGGGTGTGTATCATTGTAAAAGAGTGGACATTGTAAAAGAGTTATACCTAAGGACTGCCTCAGACCTGCCAGATCCTAGGAGAGTTTACCAGGCAAGAGCAGAGCAACTTTGTAGTTGTAATTTGTCCCAATTAACTTGTGGCTTTAAGCATTTATCTGGGTAATGAGAACAGCCCCAATTACACGAGTTCAGAGCTCACACCCTCTGCAGCAGTGGAAGTTCCTGTGTCCTGCAGACACTCCTGGACAGGGAATCTGGATGGTGCAGCTTTGAGCTATGCATTATCCCATACTCATCCTTGAGGGGCTTCTCCACACCTTCCCTGTGTTGTAGGAGAGACAAAGGCAAAACCTCACTGTCCTACATCCCCACTATATTCACTTGGCAATAATTATTACGATTCCCCTTTTAGTAATTTAATTTCCATTAATTGACACTCACAATGGAGGTTAGTTGATTTGAGAGAATCGTTCTGGAAGGAAGATTAAGCTTTTGCATCCCCATTTTTTCCTAAACTCTGCCCTAATCAATTATCTTTTCTCCCATCCTAGGGGAGATTTCCCCTCCCCAGCACACCTGCAGAGTCCCTTTAATTTCTGTCTGCAGTGGAAGGGGCTGGGAGGGCACCCCTTACCTTTGCTTTACAATGACAATGGACAAACCAGTGACCACAAGTATTTCCAAATGTGAATGGCCATGCAGTCCCCTCTGCTCTTCCCTGGAGCCAGCTTTTGTCTTGAGAAGCACAGCAAATGGTTCAGGATGCCCCACAAAAAAGGTGGCCAGCCTCAAGCCAACCCTGCCACAAAATGTTTTCTGCAGTGCCCCCAAAATCACCCTGGAAAGTGTCTCAGGCCAGGGACAGCTTCCTCGCCTGCCAGGAAGGAAGGAAGGGGACAGGCCCCTGCAGGAGAAATCAGATGAGAAAATAGAACAGAACTTGTGCAGCCCTGGAACCTCCTTGGAGCAGGGGAAAAGCCTCATTCCCCATTTCATTCCCCATACCCACAGCCTGAGAAGAGAGAGGCTGGTTTAAACACTCCCCTTTATTCCCTGCACTTAGATCTGTGCCAACGTGTGTTTTAACTTTATTAATATTGCAGTAATTTCATTATTAATAGAAACGTGTGCATTAATTTTTAATATTATATGAATATTGATATTACAGATATGCTATAGAATAACGTTGATATCCCACCACACTGGAGGCACTTCCATGTTTATTGCCAGATTTTAGGTTAGCAGAGAGGCCTTGCAGGAAAGGGCACCATCACAAATAATGAGTTACTGCCTTAATTTGATTAGGTGCTTATTAGGAAAGGGAAAGCAAGGTGTTTGGGGTTTGAGGGTGCACAGCTGGCTGGGCCAGCACACACTTTTAAGCCTGGGGGACTGCAGGGAAGGCTCTGCTGCTGAGCACCAGCAAGCCCAGCTGAAATTGAGCTTCATCTGCATCTTCCTGCCCACAATTCACCCCTGGAAAATTTTGCTACTTTAAAAAAAGTGTTACAGAGGTGACACAAAGTAAATTAGTCTGGTTGTGTGGCAAGGGGGTCTCAAATCTGAGTGGGTCCCTACAGAAGAGACAGGCCAAATACTGGTTTTACAGAACTAGTAACTGAAAGGAGCTGAACTGGCTGAAGGTCATCATGGTGTTTGGGAAGATAAAAGGCAATAATGCATACCTCTATGGAGAGCACTTTAAGGTAAGAAAAGTGATTATTGTTGGTACTGTTAATTTGTAGTGGTGTGGGAAACAGCAGTCTTATTGTGATTCTAAAGCTCTTGTGTGTTTGGAGATGATTAACATTCCTTGTCAAGAGGGGACTGAGATAATTTTCCTCATCAGCACAATGCACCAAACCAAAGGATGACACCAGCAAGTGTGACCCCAGACCAAGGTCCTTGCCAGTGCCTCCCCCTACCCCAGCAGCTCTGGGGTTTGCTCTTTCTGCACAGATGGATATTCAAAAGAAACAGAAGGTGCTAAGAATCCCTTTGATTTAAACAAGATGTCTCAGGAGTTTGATCCTGACAACGTGTAATGTGTTTTCCAGAAGGAATTAGAAAATTGCAGGAAGAGAATAGACTGTGCAAATGCAAGAGGATTTTGATAACAGCAAAATCAATGTGCCTTTCTCTGTTACATAGATATGAAATGGCAAACCAGCAGGGGTGCAGTCATTAGACTGATCAATAATTCTGAGCACAGGAACGGAGATGAGTTTAATGCACATCAGCAAATCACCTGTGGTTTCTCAAGGAGAGTGCTGAGTGCAGGCAGACCCAGCCCAGTGCAGCAGGACACACTCCAAGGACCTGGCAGGGCAGGTTCCCCCATGTGTGCCTTGGAGGATGGAGGCAGCCTTTGGGTCACTCTGCCTGGTCACCAGGGCTGGGAAAGGCTGAAGCTGAGCAATCCTGATGCACTGAAGGGAGAAGGATGGATGGCAGCTTGTTCTGTGACAAGATGTACAAGGCAGGGTGACAGCAAAGTGTGCAGGAGAGGAGGAAAGAGCAATATAACCACGGAGGAGAGGTGTAAATACCCCTGTGGCAGGGGTTTCCCAAAAATCTGAGTGTGAGCAGCTTAGTGGGGCAGAAAATGAAGGCAAGCACAATGCCAAAAGGACAGAAAGTTACAGGAAGGATGGGCCATGGGCCCTGGAGAGCTCTGCACTGCTTGGGCAGTGTCTCCCTTCCTAGGCTGGGATCCCCACCAGGTCTCCCAAACTCTGGTGCCGTGCCTCTGCCACAGCATCGTAACACACGGAAAGGATTAAATCTGCTTTTAAAGCATAATGTGGCTTTGTAAATCCCAAGGCAGTAACACAGTGCAGAAGCAGACTAAAAATATGGCCTGGTTCCAGCCCAGCAAGCAGGGCTGGGTTGTCTTTATTTACTTTTTCTCTTGCACATGTGAGTGCACTCATGGCATTTCACGCAGAGATTTGTGGGCTCTTTCACCACAAACAGGCTGATGTGGAGTTTGCAAACCAGCAAAGCTGATATTAATTTCAGGGGGTGCAGGATTCACCCTTTATTTATTCCTCCAGGCTACATGGGAGCCCAGGCAGCAGAGCACACCTCTGACCTCTTTCATGGGACCAGAAGGGTCAGCTCAGGAAAAGGCATCAGTGAGGCAGCTGCCAACATTCTCACTCTTTCCAAAAATTTCCCCACATCCTGTAGAATTAGTAGGTTCTTAATTTTTCCCTCTCCAATTTCCTTTCTCACATGGCTGAAACCTTGACAGAAAGGTCCCCCGCCCCTTCAAATCCAACAGCAAAATTTCCTGATTGCGGTGGTGTCCTAATTCCAGCTCCCTTCCCCACCCTTTCATTGAACTCTCCAAAGTCGCTAACAAACCTTTCACACATTGCAACAGAGCTTCAACTATTTGGATTTGGTTTCCATCAGTACTCAGGCTCAGACAGATATTGCACAAACAGTAAGAAGATGTCTGTCCTGCTGAGTATTTAGGATTTGTTGGGGAGGAAGATCATTGCCAAGCTCTCCGTCCCCACTGGCAGCTCTGTGGCAGGTCCTGCAGAGCCTGGTTCCTGCAGCCTCCCTCCCTGCCCTGCTGGGCCACCCTTTGGTGATGCTCAGCCCAAACCTGTCCCTCTTGCTTTCACAGCCCAGCTCCAGCTTTGCCTCTGCCTG